CGGGCCGCGCCGCCGCCTCGGGACAGACCCGTCCGAGCCGTTCCAGCAACGCTCCTTCCTACCCACTTCCTGCACATTTTTCAACTGGAGAATATGAAATCCTTCGGCTGAAAACGAAAACACATCATCAAATACCTGCGCAGCTGGGGAACGCAATCGGGAAATAGCGCTGGGAATTGTGCTGGGAATATATCCTCCCTCGAAAAAAAAGGAGTAAGAAATCCGACTGCACACATTACCCCTCCACGCATTTCGCAATTCATTCCGGATCCCGAGGGGCTTCACGGATTTTGGAAGGAGCTGGGTGCTGCCACTGGTCCAGAATCCGGCTTTCTCGCGTGTTCTAGTTGCTATTTTTTTCACTCGGCATGTTTTGAAGTTTACGATACCAAATCAAAACTGACACTTTTTGGCACTGGCTGTTGTTCGGGGAAAAATTTACAGAAAAAGAAAAACCCCAAGAGTTAAGCATTTAAGGAAGTTATATCTGTAATCGTTCAAATATTTAAATTCGTTTATACTGGCACAGAGTGAAAAACAGAAAATATTATTATTAATATTATTATTTTAAAAAGAAAGAAACAGAGCTATAAAGTCAAGGTTTGCCAGCACTCCCTTCGACTGAAAGAAAAACGCTGACTTTCATGAAAAGCAATTCACAAAATTTCACCACCGCTGGAAGGAGAAAAAAAATTAAATATATTTTCAAGTCTTTCCAAAAGTCTTTAGCTGGTCGTAAATTGAGTTTATATATCCATCACTGTCCGCAACTGGTAGATCAAGATACATTGTCTTTCAGTTTCGAGACTATTTTCTTATCCTTCACCCTCCTGTTCTGAAACCAAATGGTAACTTGTCTCTCAGACAGGTTTGTGGCTGCGGATATCCTTCGCCTCTTGTCCTTGTTAATGAACTTGTTAATGGCATATTCATTCTCGAGTTCTTTAAGCTGCAGTTTTGTGTACGGCACTCGCTTCTTTCTCCCACGCCGGTAGACACACATATCTGGCTGGTTTAGTGCAACGTCCCCTATTGTAAAAGACATTTCGTGAAAAATTAGAATTTTATTACAGGCGTTCAAAGCTTAACTGATACATGTTGGGCACCGTGTTTCACGGGCAAATAAATAATACCAGGTTGTTTGCAGTTTATTATTATTTACACTGCCACATTATTTGCACGTTAGTAAAGCCCCAAAACCTTGATGGACTGTCATCACTTTTCAGGCATGCATCTCTAGCGAGCGTGCAGGACGGAGAGGGCATTGGCTTGGGGCGAGAGCAGGTCGCTGCTGGCAGAGCGCGCACAGAAAGCACGCTCTTTGGTGCGCGTTTCCCCGGTTTGTTTGCATGTGGTTTGTGCCAGTGTGCCCTCACTCCTCGCAGTCTCTTAAGTGCTCTGGGGCTGGGTCAATCCCCAGCCTTCATGAAGAGCAGAGAATTGCAAGCCTTCAAGCCATCGTCCTGCAAACTGCAAACGTAAATACAACCCGAGCCACGGCTAAAAGCAGCAGGGGAAGGAGCCCGATACAGCCCCGCCGCCAGGAAGACGGGGAGCCAGGGCCCTGGTGCTAAGTGGCAGGGCTCTGGGATCTGTCCCGCGGGCCGGAAAGCGCAAAGTGAGGTTTCCTCGGGGGCAGCTGGGGGGAAGGAAAAACCCGCCGCCCCCCCCGCTCTGTGCGTGCCTGTGCAGCGCTCCTGCGGCGCGGGGGAGGCGGGCGGG